GCTGGTGTTAAATCTTGTGGTTAAGCCGACCCTCTCGTTTCACGCGTGCTTGCAAAACCGCCCCCATCGGACTGCGCCCCCTGGCGCCCTCTTCGGCCTCCAATCGGCCCCAAAAGAAGCACATGCCGCCCGAGCATAACGAAGCTCACCCCAAGACGGCCCCGAAAGCCCCCAAGACGGCCGCAAGACTGCCCGAGAAAACCTCGGGACGACACAAAAAGGCCACAAGATGGCCGAAAATGGCGCCCGTCTGAGAAGGCTGCAAGGGGCGCCCATGAGGCCCCCGAGTGCAAAACAAACATCGATGGTCCAATTAGTTTTACAAGCTGCTTCTTGACGAGCTTCCGAAAACTTGACACGGCCCTTCCTCCTGAGAGTATATTGGATACTACCTCTTGGGGGCGCCCCAGGGCCCCCATATGGGCAATGAAAGGAGGCCTCTAGCGGTCGGTTGGGAACCTCTCGGAAACTCTTCTGGCGTCTCCTGGGAGGACTTTGGGAGATCGGGAAGACGATTTGGAAGGAAAAGCTTCCGAATCTTGCTCGAATCACTTCTCGCGGGCTGCATCTTCGGGCTTTCGCGCGCCGTCGTGGGGGCGTCTTGGGCCGTGTTGGGGCCTTCCTGGGCCGTCTTGGGGCTCGCTTGGGGGCCCTCTCGTTGGCCTCGGGCGGTTTTCGCGCCCCCCTCCCCCCCCGAAGGGGGGCATGTTGGATGACGCCGATCAGAAGATGGAGTCCGCATCTCCTCCTCATTCTCTCCACCTTCCCTCCGTTGTTTTTTTTCCGGGGTCGACGGGGGGCGGGCGGGGGCGTGAGCGGACGAGGGGCAGCTGCGGCAGCGGCGCAGCAAAGGGAAATACCACGCCCCCAATTCGCGGGCTCTTTCTTACAGGGCAGTCGAACGACACACAACGGTTCCGTCAACGATTCATTGCACGCGACGTAGTGGCCAAGAGAGAACCAGCCGCCCCTCCAAACGGGCGCAAGGTTGCGAAGTCCCACGAGCCCTCTGGGAGTGACTGGTTTAAGGCATTTCCTCTCCCAGCTTCGCCTCCTACCCCTCGGTGAGGGGTTCACTACTCCCCCAAACACTTCCCCCCTGGACCTGGACTCGCGACCCACTGGAGCTTCCAAGATGGCCCAGGATAGCTCTCAGAGCGCCTCAGGGAGCCCAAGATGACTTCCAAGATGGCTCAAGATAGCCCGCGATAGCTCAATATGGCTCCCAACATGCTCCAAGAGGCCCCCATATCGCCCCAAGACTGATCCAAATGACCACGAAGCCCCTCCCCTCCAGGACGCCCCAGGGCGCCAGCATCAAGCCCCTACCGAAAATATACGCGTTGTTTGCCTTCCCGCTCTCTTGCTTTCGACTGCCCCCCGTGGCCCAAGATGGCTCCTGGAGGGCCCGAGAGAGCGCCAAAAAGAGGCCCAAGAGGGCTCCAAGAGCGCTCCAAAGCGCCCGCAAAAGTGGCCCCAGAGGCGGGCTATCCATGAGGCAGCGATAATTTAGGACCCCCCCCCCCCCCTTCCTTCGATCCATCTCTTCCAAGATTGCCCGACCAGGCGCCCGGGAGGCCCGAAGATGCTCCGAAGAGGCCCCCAAGAGACCCCCAAGAGACCCCGAAAGGGCCCCCCAAGAGGCCCCCAAGAGACTTCCACAAGGTTCCCCGAGGCACCCAAGCCCCTGGGCCGCCAAGAGGCCCCCCAAGATGCCCCAAAAGGCCCCCGGGGAGCTTCCAAGAGACATCCGAAGACACCCCGAAAAGGCATCCAAAGGGCCTTTGGCCTTTTTGCTCGCCCCCCGCTTCCTCGATACTGTCCTACCGATTCCTCCTCCTCCTCCTCCTCCTCCACCTCCTCCTCCTCCTCCCCCTCCTCCTCCACCTCCTCTCTGGTCGTTTGGCAACCCCTGCATCTCTTGCGCTCTGGAGTTTGGTTGGCAGCGGCGCGCTGGAAAAAAAACCTCTCTGGTCGTTCACCCCCCTGCCCCTCCTCGCCCCCCTCCACTTCCCCGCCCCCCCCCCCCCTTCCCCCCCTCATCCCTACCTCCTCCATCTCGTCCTTCCCCGATCCCCTCCCCCCCCTTTTGAAGGAGCACGGCGGTCTTTTGGTGCTTCTGCGCGCCCCCCTCTTTCCCTAACCAGTGCAACTCGTCTGGGCGTCGTTGCTGGATGAGCTGGCGGCGTCGCGCGAAGCGTTTAGAGTTCCCTGCTCGTCGCCCGCGTCGCCCCCGCCCCCATCCCGCTCGGCGCTGTCGCTGTCATTCCCGCTGTCTTTCGCCCCTGGCGTCGCCTTGTCTCCCTGCTCGACCTCCCCCCTTCCACATCATTCCTTGCCTCGTCCTCGCTGTCATCGCCCCCCGCCCTGCGCCACCGCCCACCCCCCCCTCGCCCCGACCCTTTCTCCTCATCCTCACCCCGAGGCGGAGTCGGGAAGGGAAAAGGGGGGCGGTGCATTTTTTATGAAACTCCGGGCGCCTCGAGCGCCAAAGCGCAGAGGTGGCGCCCCCGCGCGGGGGCGGGAAGCGCGAAAGCAAACCGGGACGCGGGCAATGACTCTCGCGCCCAACCCCGCCCGCCCACGCCCCCGCAATCGCAGGCGGCACAGGGGGGGAGGGGCGCATGAAGAGGAAGTGGGGGCGAGGAACATGCGCCAAATGCGGTCGGGCACTGAACAGGGGGGAGGGGGGAGGGCGCCGAACGAAACCGGCGCGCGACCAAACCTGTCATGGGCGACTTCAAGTCGACCCACAAGAGCCTCGGGCGCCGACATAGACTGAACATGTCCACGTGGACGTTCTGCGACGCCCGCATGCCAGAGCCCCGCGTCCCGCGCGCAAGGCAGAAATCGGCGACCCCTGATTTCACGTGTGATCCCCCCCTTCCACCCGCCCGCCCCGCCCACCCGCCTGCCCCCCCTGCCCCCCCCCCTTCGGACCCATGGAAGCACTGGAAGCAGCGAACATGATAGTTCGACCCGGGCCGAACGCACGACGACCATGAACAT